GAAAAATTAACAGAACTAACCTGCTTTTGTTTGTGGTAGTAACTTTCTTCAGCACGCTCCAAGAGCTCCATCCTTTCCTCAGGTTGTAATCTTTCTGACAATTGTGACCTTGATACACCATCCACAAGCTCCATTCCATCTGGCATTAGAAAGCCCCAACATATGGTTAGCAGATGGTTGATTGACCAGGGCACTATCCAGAGTTTGTCAGTGCCCAGTTATGCACAATGGTAACTTGGTTCAAACCCTATATGAGCAATCTTAAACCATTAAAAAAAAAGAACCGCTAAGCAGTTTTACTTCCTCCTCTACTGGTTCCTCCTGTAAATGACTAATGAAACTTGTATCATGAAATACCATCACAATCAGAGATATCTTCTTCAGACCCGTTTGCTTCATCACGGTTCCAAAATTCAGAGAACTGACCTTCGCCAAACATATCAGTGGAGCTGAAACATATATAACAAGAATGAATGAATCTGGTAATTACACTGGGTAACCTCAATGATAATCAGAATATCAAGATGCAAAAGCATATCAAACTACAATTATTAATATCTCTAAGCAAAGCTGTAAATAATAAAGATCTGGCAGGATAAGTTGAAGAATAAGTGCAAGGTCATTCTTAAGGCAAAGTTCTTCAAAGACAAAACAGCCAACCATTTGAGCTCTAGTGAGCCAACCATTTGAGCTTAAGTTACTTAATAAACATCAGTCCAGCATAATGATACAAGAAAGGTTGGGGTGAGCACCTGCTTATCATGATTCGAGAAAACCCCTTTCTCTGCCCTAGAGCACAAGTTGTAGCAAGCTCCTCCAAATACTTGGCAACTAGCTTAGGATTCTTGCAGGCATCACATGATTCTTTACATAATGATGCAGGACCCTAGTTGGAAAATGACAGTAAGTAGCCTCAGTTGAATTCTGCAAATAAAAATCAGAAAATAATACCTTAAGGATGCCCATTAATGTAGATTTTGATTACCTGTTCCCCAAAGCTCTCAAGAATTTTTTTCCTCCGGCACCCAGAACCTTCACAATATTCAACCATCTGTATACATACAGCCTCCAGAAAATCAGAGGCAGTGGGTACACCTAATACAACAAAACCCAGGGCATAATCACCTGATGAAAGTCTGAAATACTCTTTTTTGTCAATTCATCCTGTGAACTTGAGGACTGCAATTTTTTGCTCCCCGAATTGCTCAAAATAAACTCCTGTGAGATATTTATATATAATCAGGAAGAGCCTCATAAGAAGAAGCAACCTAAAAAGAAAAATGAAGCAGCAACAAAGCAATGAACCAAACCATTCTCCTGCGATCATCCACTCCATAGTACAATATACTTCTAGAGTGGTATAGATCACGACCTGCTCTCCCTGACTCTTGATAGAAGGCTTCCATTGATTTTGGAATATTATAGTGGCAAACCATTCTAACATCCTTCCTATCTATACCCTGGATATATTAGCCAGTAGCCATTAATAACATGTAATTTCCCTTTAAAATTATCCACCAGCAAGAAAGTAAAGAAAGTCATTTATCTAGAGATAACGTAAATCAGCAGAGATCATGTTGCATACCATCCTGAAGGAACACCAGTATTAATTACTGAACACGTGGCAGAGCAGCTCTCAAGAACAATGCAAAAGAGAAATCAAGAAAATCATCACGATCTCAGGTAAATCATGACTAATAATCAACAAGACAAGATAAAAAAAGTTGTAAAAATTATGGACGAAAGTTTATTCTAGATGGAATGATTCTCCATTCCCACTACAATCTTTGATTTTAATAGCATCCTCTACTGATGGTAAGATTTAACAGCACAGCAAGGGAACATATTACAGGAGTATTTCAGAGTTCATCCGCACCCTTATTTAAAAAAGAAGAAATATAGAGGTTTGCCATCTACCACTGTTGAAACAGTTTTAGTTGCATTAAGAGTGGCAGTCAAAAGCTAGAAATCCAAATGATTAGTGCTTGTCAAATAATAGAGCCAACCATACCCAAAAGCCACTGTGGCCACAACAACTTGTATCTTAGAAGAAAGCCAGTCATCTAAAACAGAACTTCGCAATTTATTGTTCAACCCTGCATGATAAGCTGAGAGAACCAAAGAAAAGAAAGCATGTGATTTGTCACTGCTCTCATATAGCAGGGAAGAAAAGGAACAGGAAATTTGGTTACCAGCACAAGAAATGCCATTCTTTGAAAGATGAGCAGACAAGTCATCACAAGTTGTTCGCTCAAGGCAATAAACAATTGTACAGATATCTCCACTGGAATGAAGTACTTCACACAAATCAGCATAGGCATCTTTCAGAAGATCCTTGTATCGAACTGCACTTTCATGTAAAGTTGAGTTAGCTGCATGTAGAATTGAGTTTTCTGTGACCCCATAATGTAACAGAAAAATGTCATAAAAACAAGCACTTGTTTTAACTTATCCTTTATGGTACAGAAAAAGTAATGAAACTAACGTATGTAATGGACTGCCTTTTTTCTCTCACAGTTTTCTCACAAACTCCCCCCTCTCTCTCTCAATAAACCAAACAACCATGCACAGCACTAAATGGTCCCAGTAAAATCCATAATTAACAAGGTTATGTGGCAAGTACAAGTAGAAAGTTATAAACCCGAAAATGGTATGAGACTTGTGTGAATTTAATAATATACTTGCTCTGCCCTGCTAGATCTATGATTAATAAAATTTTAATTTTATTTTTTAATTATACTCAAATTGATCAAATTTTGATTAACAAATGTTTAATACTGGATATTTATAATGTTATTGCATATTTATTATTGAGTAGATTATGTTTAAATTTTATTTTAAATTATATTACGTTTTGATTAACACTTAAGTTCTTTTAACTAAGTTTTAAACTCCATCTGGATTCCAGATACCTAAAAGATGTTTTGGACTTGGAAAGAAATGTTCTTAATACGATAAGCTGTTTTAAGTTCCTCAAAAGTCGCTTTAAAAAGATAAATTTTTAATTCATAATATATACTTGTACTGTGAGAGACACTTCTCTAATTACTGCTCCAGTCATCTCAACCCAAACTCCCCTCCCTCTTGGAAACCAAACAATCATGCACAGAGCCCTAGTGTTGTCTTGACTGTAACCCATAACTCAGGTACTTAATCAACTAGGAGCACAAAGTACATCTTACAAGATCTACCTTCATAATATATATTTGGACGATTGAAAGAGGACTTTAAGACTAAAGGCTTTTGCAAGTTTAGGGAGTTGATTACATCCTTCTGGACTCTGCAGAAAGTAAAGGTTATATAATCAACATTAGTACGTGAAAATGAAAACTTGCCAGAATACAAGGATATTATTTTAATAGACAGGCAAAAACATAAATACAGAACCCAGTTTTAGATGATTCTGTTTGCAGGAGTTAATATGCTAATTTTCTACTATCAGTCTGAAACTTTTTCTTTTAACCTAAGATCAGGAACATAGAAATTGAAAAATTGTATGAACCTAAAGGAACTTTAGAGGCTTTAATAATCAAGAATTCAGTAAGCCCTTCTGCAGGCAATTGAAACTTGACTCACTTAGGAACAGCAGTGGCTGTCAAAGCTAATATTGGAATATCTGGTAGGTGATTCCTCAAAGATGAAAGCTTGCGGTAGCTACGCCTGTTTAAAGGTGAAAAATCCACTAGTTAGGAAAGAAGATAAGAAAAGATTTTGGTAGATGACTTTCAATTGTACATCAATCAAGCATGACAATGTCTAGTCAGCAAAAATGGCCGTCGACTTTTAAATATAACCCAGTAAATGTACAGGCAGATGAGCATAAGAAACTAATAGATGAATAGAATACTGAAGAAAGAATTCACAAGTGAGTCCATATTGACCGCAAGAAACAAAAGAATATCCATATATACACTCAAGTGAAAAAAAGGAGGAAGGAGATATCATTTCTTGTTCATTTCTAGAACTACCTACAAACCTGAAATCATGACCCCATGTTGAGATGCAGTGAGCCTGAAATTTTCACAGAAGATTTGATAATAATTCAGATTCTAACTACTTAAATTGTATATAGTAGTACATGTAGCACAAATATTCACACCTCATCTATAGCAATGAGATTTAACAGTCCTCTAGCATGAATCTTGGTCAGCTTGGACATGAACCCCAGTGTAGCAACCAATTCTGGCGTTACGTACAGCAGCCTTACAGATGGTTTTCCACAATCAAGGTCTTCATGGATCTAATAATTAAAATAAGATATTCATCTTTGATAAGTATAGAGGAAGTATACCACACCTGGCAGATTGCAGGCGTTCTAAATCACCTAAAAGATATCCCTAACTAGGAATATACTCTACTGATTCCAAGGCTCAAGGCAAATAACACAATCATAGTCGTCATTCATATTATCCAACATAGAAAGCTCTGCATAGTAATCAGCCAAAAAAATCCATAACTAGCAATACTCTCTACTTCCTATGCTCAAGATAAATGCTTGATTGTAATCATTATTTATATTATCCAAAAGAGAAAGAACCATCATTTACTGAAACGACCTTATTTCTGACTTGTAATGTCTGGGTTGAAGAGAGATACTCAGCAGCAATACCTTTCTCCTTCAATGCAATCACCTGGTTTTCCTGGTAGTAAAGAAATCCAAACGAACAAAGCTCAAAACATTATAACATCTTAAGCAAGCAAAAGGTAAGAGGAAAGTAAAGTATAATCACATACCATTAAGGCTATGGGTTGAAGGAGGAGAACCAACCAAAGAAATCACACCAGTAGCAGTTTCATGGCAATCAATACCCAAGTCAAATGGTAAATTGAAAAGTTAAGACTTCTCAAACATCAAAATAATCATCCCCCAAAAAGAAAAAGAAATACCGTTCACCTATTAATGGACAAACAACAAGCACGATTCCGGTTTTTGCCAGTGCAGGTATCTGGTAACACATTGATTTTCCTCCCCCAGTTGGCATTAGACAAAAACAATCGCGTCCTGCACCCAACGTAGATCAAACTCAAGAATACTGATCAACAATGCCAATTCACCTTCTCAAAAAAGAAAAAAAACACAGCAATTTACAAGGAATATTAATTTAACACACAGATTCACTAGTCGTGAAAAATAGAAGCATGAACACTGAACACACGCACACAGACAGAGAGATGAGCAAATGAGAGAATTTGGTTTCGGCGTGGACCTGATAAAACGGCTTGTATAGCCTCCAGCTGTTTGCCCCTAAACTCCGCGTGTCCAAAGTGCCATCTCAGGAGCTTAGTTAAAGCTTCCTTTTCAGATATCTGCTTATCAGAGCCACATATGTTTTGCAGCGGCAATGGTGATTTCTTCATTTTGATTTTCCCCTATTCCAAGCAGCCCAACCATCAATCTCAACGAAGAACATCCAAATTTATTAAATAAAAATGGCGAACCATGTTGCCAAGTGTTAACTAGCTGAACTTAATGTTCTTCAATTAAAATGGCGGTCGGCTTGAAGGTTTTGTCGTTTCCCGTACCACCGATAACAAAGCAATCATTAGTGAAATTTGGCGAAGGAGCGTCCGTGAAGAGACGGATAGAAAAGGCGAAAGAAAAAAAAATTTTAAAAATAGGGTCTTGAAGCTATTTCAGCGGTTTTGTTGGGCTCTTTGAAAATTTGGTTCCGCCATTTGTATCCGGTAAAGGATTACAGTAAATGTTGGGTCCGGATCAAAAATGAAAAAATACATTTACCTTCTGATAGAGGTAGAAGATACATATATATATATATATATTTATTTATTTTAAAAAAAGTATTTCTAAGAAATACCCGAGTAATTTAATTAAGATAATAGTTACCCCTTACGACGAGTTGTGTGACACTTTCCGGTTTTCGCGCTTTCACCTCTCTCGAGCTTCGGTTTCCACTCCGTCGTAACAACCCCTTCGGTAACCGGTTCTTATTCAAGCAGGTAATGCATCCATCTCCTTATACTATTTGATACAGATATGCGTCCATTCTGTATTCCGCAGATTGTGATTATGTATTAATTTTGAATCGCCGCTGCTTGTCCATAATACTGTATCCCTTGATTTCACTTCCTATTTGCGGTTCCGATACTCTGTTCTAAGTTCTGGATTCGGTAATTTGGCTATAAGACTTTCTTCTCCCTTTCTTTTTTCCTCCTTTTATTTAGTATACTCTCTGATTAACGCCATGAATGCCGTGTATCTTTATTGTTAAGATTTTTCTTGGTTTTGATTAACCTGTTTGCTTGTTTCCACATTTCTACTTACTATCTGGGTTTTGTGTACTGATTTAAGATTCCCTCTGTGTTGTGCTTAGAATGATAAATGATCTGAGCATATGTTTTTTACATTGTTAAGGCTGAAATCGCATCCTCTGAATTAAAAGATTCTTTTCGTCATCTTTGTAAATAATATATGTTTTTACTTCTGGAAGGTTTGCCTATGCTAAGATATATATATGTATATATTATATTTCCTGGTTATGGCAGAGTTTGTCATGCGATTATAAGAGCCGGAGGACTCAAAAATTTGTATGATCTTGTCTCAGCTGGATTATTTTTTATGAAAACATTGTGGCTTCCTTTACATTGAAACTGTGCTCTCAAGTCTCAACTGGGTATTGCTTCACTCAATTTATTGATAAGCAGAGTTCCACTTTTATCCTTAAAGCTAAGGACTGCCTATCCTCATTTCAGTTTAATCACCAAGTAAGAACACATTCTTAGATGGTTTACAACACAAGATCGGAATTTTCTTTTGCCTCCTCTTAAGAAAAGTTCTTGTGGGGTGATAAATGGGCAAATATGAAGACAATTAGAAGGGGGAAAGTTATTCTCCTTCAACTCCTTTTATTTAATTAGGAGCATATCTGGCACATCAAGTAAGAATTAGCATTTCATGTAATGTATTAAAGCTCGGGGTGGGAAGTGATACAAACATGAAATTATGATCTAGTTTCACTTGTGAAGAATATATTAATAATTAACTGAAAAAATAGAATTTGAATTGAATGAAAATTGAACCTTTAATTTAGTCTCCTGACATTAGAAAACAGAGTGAGGACAATTCTACTTGTATGTGAGAGGTATACCAACATTTATTCACCAATTCATTTGCAATCTTTTATTTGCTGATATTCATTTAGTTTTCTGCAATTAACATTTTCTTGTTTTCTTACTTTGAGAATTATGCCACTCTTAACAGAAATGGTTTTCCTGTGTTGGGCTGTACCTTCCCTGGAAGAACAGATATCTTGCATTAAAAAGTAAAAGAACTTCACTCTAATAGTGATTTTCATCTCTGCCGCTGAAATAGAAGCAGTTTTGATATATGAAATTCTACCATTGTTTATTGTTGGTGCTTATAAGCCAGGTCAGTTGCTTTTAATTATAATTCCAAGTATTTAGGAGCTACTGCTAAGCCTGAGGCTAGCCTGAAGAAAGATGAGGAACTCTCAAAAGACGGGTTCTTAATCAACCATTCTCGCATTTTAGTTGGCTCAGGAGTTGGGACTTATGAAAAGGGCAAGAAAGCCCTTCAGACATGGAGGTATATGATCATGTTAAGAGGAATGGAGAAACTTAACGGAGCCTGCTTCTGATGTTATTTCTGGTGTAATTTGCAGGCATTTTGGATTGGATTGGGCATTTGTTGATCCGAATACTCCGGTGCAAAGCGGAGTGAAGTTTTGTGTTTGTGTCAAGGAGTTTCTCCCGTGGATCATGATGCCTCTCCAAGTGGTTTATGTTAATGAAAGCAGAAAAGCTAAAAATGCAGTGGCTTCCTTTAGCTTTGGTAGTGGAACTCTTCAAGGTCACCTATTGGTTAGTATCTCTTCTTGCTGTCATTGCAATTGCTGTTGATGAGAAACGTAGAGCTTATGTGCATATGTTCTGATTCATAATTGCAGGCTGATGGTATGTTTGGGGTAAATTAATTATGTTAAAAAGAGAGTAAATTAGATTAAAGGGTATAAGGATAAATTACGCCATTTGTAATTAATTGCTTATTTCCTTTTTCGTCTTGAAAAATCTATATATATAAGATTATAATATTTAATAAAATCTACATCAAATTATTCTTAACATAAAATTGGAGTTTTACACCCTCTTTGGATCGTAGTAAATGATAGTTAATTAATGTATGGTATTTTATAAGCGTGAAAAAATCATGTTTGTTTTAATTTCCAATCGGATGAGATGGTAATAAACGGTATCCGACGAGTAAATTTGGGATAAATTTTAAAATCACTAAATCGGTAGTATGTGACTGACAAATAATTTTTTTTCCGTTATATTCTCATAAAATATATTTAATTCCAGTTGTACCCTTAAATAAACACCATATTTCTCTTCTCATTTCCTCAAATTAACTCATGGTATGTGATTATTTCAAACATATTTTAATGTTTTATTTGTTGAAATAATTTTAGATTTAATATAATAATATATAATTACAACTATTTGTTTCTAATATATAAATAATTTATTTTTAGTAAAATTAAATTAATGTGATAATATAAATAATAATTATTTATTTTATCAAATATAAAAATTTAATTTGATTGTGTAATAATTATTTATTTAAATACAAATTTAATTATATTTTTATATAATTTATTTTTTTTCTAGTACATACTTCTTATATACTATTTATTATTATATATAATAAGTTGGGATAAATTAGTAATTTAATTAAAAATACAATCATACCATTCTATCATCCAAATAAACAGCTGTTATTAATATATATTAATACATAACCATTTAAATATAAAATTTTTTTGTCATTCTCATCCTGTGCTATTGTCATCTAATCACTGTCATTACCATACACTAATTACGTGTTACTGAAATTTATCCAAACAGGGTGTTAGGCTAGAAAGTCATAACCTCTTTACAAATCTTATTCGCCATTTTTTGCCAAAATGAAAAAAATTTTAGAGGAACCAGCCTTCATTGCCAGCCACCACAACCATAGCCGCTGGCCATCACAGACCGGCCACCTCCACCATAAGCCGACATCATAGCTGACCATCTCCATCAAGACCGGCCTTCATCATTGAATCCTGTTCGCTATAACTGCCGCACACAATTCTCTCGGTTGTGTTCATTGTGACCATATTTGAGCAACTTCCTAGTTCTCCCCAACCAAGCTGTGTATAGTTCTCTCAGTCGCCTTCATTAAATGCGAGTGAACCAGACAAGTTGCGACTAGACATGACCCACTGACATAGAGGCAAATAGAACCCTAACTTGTCTCTTTCACCTTCATCAGACGTGAGCAAACCAACCAAGCTGCGCTAAGTCGTAACTAGACCCAACTCATAGACACAAATGTAGACAAAACACTAACTCATCTCAGTTGCGACTCGAATTTGTTGGCCGCAACCCTAGGTCATGCCTTTTTTTCATAACTCTAGCTCATCAAACCCAAGCATATCTTTGACGTAATTCTATGCACACAGACGTGTGTGCCAATTGCAAATATGTGATTACTAAGGAGTTGATTCAATAAGTTCCTGGTTTGAGTTAACTTAGTGACTTAGTGCAAAACTGGTGGTTTCCTCGATGTTTCCTTACACAGCCACGTGTTTCGGGTATTATCCTTCTGATAATTTTTTTATTTATTATTATTCAATTCTTGAAGGATGTTGGAACTAACATCTCAAAGTACTGGAGCATATTCTCACATGAAAAATTCTTCGTACGAATTTCAGCCAATTCAGATTATCTATCAGTTTATGGGAACAGGCTATCTGAGCTGATCGCAATTAATTTAGACCATCCTAAAAAGAAAAGGGAAACTCAACTACCTTCTAAGTAGGAGATCAAACCCCGGAGACTACATTTGATGTTCCATGATCATGACATGACTCTGGAATTTTATGATTCCATAAATAAGCAAAACTATAATGTTCATTCTCACAGTAAAGACAATGTTGGATGCAATTGGCAAAATCTACTCTAGAGGCAAAGATGTCTCACAAATTTATAGCTTAACAGGAAATGTCATCACTTAATGAGGTAATTTCCATTATAACATCAAAAGAAAGTAGAAGAGGGATTATGCTAGAATCTCACTCCATTGATAATTCAGCCTTGATCTCACGAGACTCTAAACCTCGTTAGCAATCAAATGTAGCTATCATAACAATGTAACTTCTGGAGTAGATAGTAGGGATAAACTTTGATATACATTTTTTAAAAAGCTCAAACACATTAAAAGCAAATGTTGGAAACTGCATGACAAGTTCAGTACCTCCAGTAAAGAGTGAAAATACAAGAATACCTCATAAAAGATTCCTATAGAGGTTCATATGGTTAACCAATAGGAAGAAGAAATACCTACCAATTTCACTACTTTCAAGGCTGAGATTGAATGACCGTGAAGTCAATTTGAAGACCTTGAGAAGGTTACAAGTACAAGTTTAATAAAACACTCATGAATGCTTTCTTTTTTACACAGTTTAAATGCTTAAGATAAACTCTTTAAAAGTTCATGAATTGTAGATTCAGAAGCCAAAATCATATGATCAATACTTCTAAGCGTTTTCATCATCTATTCTATTACCAAATAATAAGAAAATTGTCACTGCAATTGGTTCTTTAAATATGATTGTTGGCTAGGAAAACATTAAGCTTAAACCTATCATTGTCTTAAAAAAGAGCCAATTCTTTTCTAAAATAACATTCCCAAATGATATTAAGGAGAAGTCATCCTTACTACCACCTACGTTATTACTCATAAATGTTCTTGAGTTTAAAAGTTCTCTTAAAATGTTCCAACGGTTTATCCAACAGTATCACAAACTATCTGGTCCCTTGCATATTTGAGTGTGTTACTTGTATTCATATTCATTCCCACCAAGAAGGAAAACTTGATTCTTGGGCCCTGAAATGTCTATTTATGGGGTACTCATCATCTCAAAAAGAGTATAAATATTACTGTCCATCCATTTAAAAATTATATGTATGCAGATGTCATATTTATTGAAAAAGAATCATACTTCATCTAACTTTATCTTTAGGGTCTATATTGGAAATAGAGATACATAAATTCTTAACGAATTTTAATCTACCACCTTTGTCACACACCTCAAGACTATCATCACAAGAAAACATTTAGAACCTACCAGAAACTCACCATGCAGAAAACCTTCAAAATCTATCCCTTTAAGAGATCATGTCAAATCTTAGATTGTCTCAAGTGTATGCAAAGAGAAAAATGTCAAGTACTAAGGCAAAGTTGGTCCAAGAATCCGATCTTAATCTTGGAATTGAGGTAAGTCCTAGAAAACTTATATAGTCCTTTGATAGTGATATACTTATTGCATTTCGTAAGGGTACGAGAGAATGCATTAAACATCCTTTGTACCCCATCTCAAAATTTTTGTCATTGATAAGTGTTCATTAACATATGAAAATTTTCTCATAAGTTTAAATAATAAATCTATCCCTAACATAGTACATGCAAAATTGTCTTGTGAAAAACGGAATAATGCTATGACTATGGAAATGAAGTCACTTGGAAAGAAGCAAACTTGAGAAATGGTGGATCTACCTAAAGGTAAAAAACTGGTGGGATGCATAAATTTTCTCAATCAAATATGAAATAGATGGGGCAATCGAGAAGTATAAACCGAGATCGGTGACAAAAGATTATATATAAACATGTAAGATATTACCAGGAGACATTTGTACCAGTAGCTAAGATGAATACTATGCGAGTCTTGTTATCATTAGCAACTAGCAATTACAACAATTTGGTGTAAAAAAAATGTTTTTCTGCATCGAGATCTAGAAGACAAAATTTACATGAATATTCCATCAGGTTTTGACGAAAAAGTATAAGCATTTAAGGTATGTAAAATAAAGAAGACGTTGTATGGACTCAAATAGTCGCCAAGAGCGTAGTTTGACACGTTTATAAGGGGGATGATAGATGTAGGATTCAAGCAGACTCAACTAGATCATACTTGGTTCATCAAACACTCAAGACATGGGGAATTACAGCTCTCTTAATATATTTTGATGACATTATCATAATCAGAAATGATGAGAATGAACAATTAATGCTAAAACAGTGTATCACAAAAGAATTCAGAATAAAAGAACTTGAGAAACTGAAGTATTTTCTAAAAATGTAATTCATCCACTCTAAATTTAAAATTTTTATTTCTCAACAAAAATTTATTTATGACCTATTAAAAGATATTGACAAGCTAGCATGCAAGCCAACTAGCACTCATATTGACCCTAATAACATATTAGGAATAACAGAGGAAAATACATTAATAAATAAGAAAATGCATTTAAGATTAGTTGATAGTTTGATCTACCTATTCTACATGAATCCAGACATGACTTGTGCAATAAGTTTTGTAAGTCAATTCATACACAAGCTGAAAGGAGGGCACCTCAACCTACAAAAAATTACCTTACTTAAAAGGATCACCAAGAAAGAATTATGTTTAAAAAGAACGATAAATTGCTTCTAAAAGTCTATACAAATAAAGATTATACAGGGTTGATTATAGACAACAAATATGCTACAGACTACTGTACTTTGTTTAGACACAATCTAGTCAATTGGAGAAATAAGAAACAAAATGTAGTTGTGAGATCAAGTATGAAATTAGAGTTCTAAACAATGATACAATGGGATATGTGAACTATTATGGATAAATTTTTTTTTGAAAGATCTTAAAATCAAGTGGGAAAATCTTGTGTGTCTTTATTGTGACGACAAGTCAACCATAAACATCGCTCACAATATAGTGCAACACGATCGAATTAGACGTATTGAGATCAAGAGATATTTTATATTAAAAAAAAAACTTGATAGGGACCTAATATGGATCTTATACATGCCACTAATTTTTAACTAGTAGATGTATTAATTAAAGGCGTAACTCAACATTCCGAACTTTTATTGGCAAGTTGGGAATAGACAAAACGTTTACTTCTCAGCTTAAGGGAGAAATTTATATTAGTTTAACAATGAGAGGATAAAAATTCTACCCAGGATGATGAAATTTCAACTCTAAATTAATATTAGATGGAATTTTCAATCTTATCATTGAACTAAACATTTTGAAATGGACTTGAGAAGTAGTTCACTTCTTCCTAACATAGCCTTAAAAATTAGTCACTCTGTTTCTCTCCTAAACAGTCAATGTCATGGTATTACCAATTATTATTCTACTTTTTTTTTTCTTTGTCCATCCCTAAATTCTCTGTTGTCCTGGCTATCTTTTAAGACATAACTTTGAAACGATGGAGAATTTTAGTTGAGCACTTGGAATAGCAGAATTTGTGTTACTTGCAAAAATTAATAGCAAAAATAACTGGTTAATCTCTTGATGATTGTATAACTAGGAAACTTGGCATGATTAGATAGTTTGGATCAGTTAACGTTATTTTGAGCTGGATTTACGAGTTCAGACAGGACCTATAACTGATCAAACAAAAAGCGAAGATATTTACTTCTTACACTTTACTTAATAATCCGTTTTTTTAATTATTTAGTCTTTAATCAAATCGTTTCAATCTTCTACCTTTCAGACTCTTTAATCTAACCGTATACTGGATAGCTGATGCATACAGTAATGTTATGGTCTTCTTTTTTCTTCTCTTGAAAGCAGGCTGGAGAAGAACGTTTCTCAATTGAGCTGGACGAGAGGGGACAAGTGTGGTATGAAATACTTTCTTTCTCAAAGCCTGCCCACTTTCTATCGGTTATTGGATACCCGTATGCGCGGATTAGGCAAAAATATTTTGCTCATCAATCTGCCAGGGCAGTTAGGAAATATACGGCTGCCCTGTAGCCTTCTTCAATTTCTTCACATGTTTATATTCTCTTCTTTATCAACTCGATTTTAGGTGGAAATATGATCAAAACGGTTGAGTCGGTAAGATCAACTATGCAACTTCACTAGTTATGAGGTCAAGTGCCCTATCTTTTGATACGGATTAACTTTTTTTTTTTTATTTCTGTGGGGTGAATGCTGTGGTAATTTCAATCATTATGCAAGGAAAAATGGGAGTGTCTTGTAATTGGACAAATTGTACAAGATTCACTACCTTTTAGCTTGCATCTCCTAGAAACCCATATTAACCAACTCTACATCCCCAGATAACCTAACCAACAACTGAGATCCTCCACAGGATAAAAGATAATGCCATTTCTGAAGGTACTGATGGAATGAAATAAGCATCAGTCTCCAGAAGACCTCGGAGACTGAGGGGGGAGGAAGATAACCGAGGTAGATAAGCAGAGCAAAATTGAATAACATCATTCTGGTGGATACTATTTGTCGTCTTAAGTTTGACAATTTGATGCCACTTTGCACTGCTCATTTCCTTCTTGAACTGTACAAAAATACAGCTGAACTTCTCTTCCTTGAGGATGCACTGTCAGAATAAACATAACGAAATTACCAAAAGCATGTTAACTAAATGAACCATAGACTAAATAAGATCAGTAGGGTGCATCAAGAAAAGTTAAAAATGTTCTCCCGATCATGTTAATAATTGCTCCTCCTCAAACTAAAAGACTCTTGATGGCAAAATATATATATAATATATATATGTACGTATGCTATGCAGTAGGCTAAGCAGTAAGCTAGCTTGGGTGAAAAAAACAAAAATGCCCTCTTTTCTTCGAACTTTACTCCATTACACTTACTAGTTACAGTAGGGCACTTGACATAGTGACATAACGCCAAAGGTGTTTCCATAAAAGGCAGACTGCCGTGAAAAGTTATTAACCACAAAATCTAGATTTTAATCCCACACATGTAATAATTAAACTTTAATTATTACATGAACCAGCCATTTGCTTTAAAAAGAATAAAAAGAAAAAAAGGGTGTTTCTCAAGCTTATTATGTTTTTCTTATTACCAAAGTCCAATGAATCAAGTACAATAGCGTCTGATAACTAATAATCATGGGGGAAAAAAAAAAAAGGAAGAACACCATTCCTTTAAAAGAACGTGTTGAGGTTCATACATTTAGTGGACTGACGTTTAGACTATATTTAAAAACAAATTATTATCTAATTTGATTAGTTCAATCTGTATTTAATAAATCTAATTAGTTTCTTATTAGATTTATGTAATTAATTATTTTTTTTTCTATATTGGATATGAAGTATAAAATTTAAGTAAAAGATTAAAACCTTTATTAATTTTCTATTTTAGTCTCTTACATTTTAAAATATTTATTAATTTATATGTATTTTTTAAATTAATCAAAGTTGTTACATATCTGTTTGTAAAAATTTTATTAGTTTATTTTAATTTTTTCTTAAAAAAATTAGTAATGAAACTGTAGTACTATATCAATCTATTGCATAAATTAACGGAGATTTCAAGTAGTATTTGATATCTTTAATATTATTATTATTTTAATTATGAAAATTTAAAATTTATTATAAATTAGATAAAATTACCATTTTTATTATTAGATTATAATAAAAATATATTGTTTAACTTATAAAAAATTTAATTTTAAATTATTAAAAAACTTTTAAAAATATTTTGTAAAAACATATTATTTTCATAATCATATTTTAGTAAAAAAGTTATCTTAGTAATAATCGGTAATAATTATATTTATATTTATTTGGACAAAAAAGTTATATGAAACTCTTTTTAGAGAGAAATGTTTTTTTTTTTTTTGAAAATTAAAAATTCTATGTGGAAAAAGAAAAGGGTAAAAGTAAAAAGTAAGTGTAGTGTTTATTAGTTGTAAAAATTAATCATCGTTAATGATTTCTATTAGGCTCCATTAATCAATTGACAGATGCGAAGAACTTCGGAGAACCAAATAATCTTCGTTTCCTCGGGCTCACCTGTGATTTTACACGTGAACAAAAGCTTGTTTGTACTCGTACGAAGGAGCAGACACACAGAGAAAGGTACCCCCGGCGCTCTCCTCAGTCGCATTACTGCCGCCACGTTACTCGGGCTGTTTGTCCCCGCCAGTTGCATACAGGTATTCTCTCGGTTCTGCGCCCTTCAACAGATTCTTCAAACTTGTAGACGTAGGGCATTTCGAATCAAGGAGCTATAGATATCCGCCTTTAAACTCCTCATCGATAGAAAAGAAAAAAGAGCTTACTAGACTTCATTTAAACTGTATTCTCCCGTTAATTGCTTGAAAACTGATTTATATTTATCGATTATCAATCATGTTGTTTATCACCTTTTTCGCTCCTTTAGTCTGTTTTTTTTGGGATTAACTACGGGGAGAGGATAATTTATGTTCGGTTTTCTTGGGTGCTGATGAGAGAAGATGAAGACGGGAGTCACAATCAGCATGCTTTGGAGTTTATTTGTGTTCATCTACAATAACTAGAGTACAGGATTTGCAGGTAAGATTCTTTAAGATTGAGCTATTGAGTTTTCTTTTCTTAATCAATAATTAAATGATGAAGGAAATGAATGCATCTATTAACAAGGTTTGTAGATGACGACCTTTTAGGTTGAGATATGAATTTTGTTCAAGATTTGCAGATGAGTTTTCTAAAAGGAAATATTTGAGTATTCATATAAATGAAGTGTTGATATTTGAAGGAATTTAGACGAAGTAATGGGCTGTTGATTTTAAACAACAAGATAGCAAAACTTAAAAAATAGAAAATAGTCCTCTCAGTTAGAAAATAGGTGTCCTGGCTGGGTGGGAACAGACAAGATTCTCCATTCCAAATCATAATGTGCTTTGATGATATTATCAGTCCATGCATGTGAAGATCGTGGCATTCAATTATTTTGGTTATAGTAATCAGTGAATTTGCTACTTGGTCAAATCACAAATTAGTATAATAAATTAATTATGTCGTGGGGAGATTGTGTTTTACTATTTGAACAAACAGCCACTAAAATTTATTGAAAGGAAAATTTGTGAGTGGATTGTTAATGTCAATCCCATCTAAATTCAGTGGCGGTGAAAGTTATCTCATAAAGATCATAAGTGAGAACCATATTTCATGAAATAGAGGGGAGAGATGGTTATCTAATCGCAAAATTATTTCATACAAAATCCCATGTGAAGCATTTTTCAGTTGGTATAGATGGAGCACATATGTTGTGCTGTAGTTTGACAAAAAATTGAAAATTTGTTCCATATACATTGTGTTATATTGCTATTAATATTGTTCTATTGTTGTTAAACATATATTTTTACATCATATTTCTTATTGTTTGAAAGATCTTTTATGATTATGCGAAAGTTAAGACATTTTCTGGATCCTGCAATAAAAAAATGCATTTTGCAATAAGAAGCAAAAGGAGTGTCTGGAGGCTGTAAAAAAAAAGCCAAAAGTGTTCTTAATGTTTTGTTTTCTTTTTTACTTCTTTTACAAAATTTTGCTGAAGCCTCTTGATTTGCCATCATAAAATCTCCTGATCTCCTTGTAGCAATAACCCCAGAAAGTGCGAGAGATGATTAGAAACAGTTTTTGGTGTCCCTAAAGTAGTGGAAGAAAAATATGGAGTCTTTTTTTAACAGAGGTAAATAATTTGAAGTTTGGGTTTTTATGTTTTGTTTCTAGGTGAAAGAAGGCTAGGTTGCATGGTTAACAGTTGATGTGCTGTTTCTATGGTTGCAGGCTTATGGGCTATGAGTGTGGAATTGTATGCAGTTTCAAGAATTTAGATTTAACCGGAAGAGACTAGATTTTACCTTGTATTCACAATATGTTTGTATCATGTTTAGCCACAGAGCTTCAAGTGCTCTCTCAACCAGATCTGTAGCAAGGATTTTGTAGTCCCATTTTCAGTTTTTGGTCAATTACTTTCCTTCTCTTTCTTGAGAAGCGAAAAAGGAAATCATAGCAGAAAACAGTTGATAAAGCTTCCGAGCCAACAAATTTTAGTTTCTATTCAATGAACTGATCTAGTACTGATTGTCTTGCTTGATGGTGGTGATCATGGGTGTCTGCCGCCCCTTCCGCAATACCTGGGATCGAGCACTTGACCAATGCTTCCACTTTTTCCCATGTCTGTCTGATCCAGGTAATCCTCGTGTCATTATTGTTTTGATTTTATATGGGTGTTTGTTTCCTGAGAAAACTGCAGAGAATAGAAGTGGAAAAGAAAAAAGAAAAAGAAAATAAAACTGATCTGGATGTTCTCCATTATGTTTTCATTTCCATAAGCTAAATAAGGTGGTTTAAGCTTTATTCAGGAAGTTCTTTCCTCCCTGGTTTAATGGATGATCTTTTTGGGTATTCTTTTTCCTGGTTTCTTAATTTTATTTGTTAATGCTTTCAGCTCGGAGATCAGCGTTGGGCTTGAAAGTGGCATTGGTGACAATGCACTTTGTTTATGCTGGAGTTTTGTTCCTTTTTGATACTGATCTAATAGAGGAAACTAAACAAAGCCCTTGGTATGCACTTAACATTGTTAATGTAGTTACTGGATTAGGTTGTTGCCCATTATGTACATGATGGTTCATCTTGTGATGCAATATTCATAGGGTGGAATCTTAGCCATGATGCATGAGATACATGCCTAGCTATTTGTGGGAATAGATTAGTTGGGTTGTTTAAAATATTGTTTATTGATGGTGATCTTTCACTGGCTTTACTCTTTTCTGGCCGATCATAACTCTAACGAAAAATATTCTTTCTCCTCAAAAATTATTTGGAAATCGGGTACCCCTCTAAAAATTGCTTTTTTTACCTGGGAAGTTGCAAAAGGGAAAATCCTGACAATTGACAATTTGATGAAAAGAAGGCATATTACTGTCAACAGGTGTTTCTTATGTAAGAGATCTGTTAAATCATATAATCATCTACTCTTGAAATGTCAAATATCTCACAAACTCTGAAGTATGATACTCAGGTTTCTGGGGTTCTCTTAGGTAATGGTAAATTCTGTTTATTCCGAACTTCTGGCATGGGAAGGTTTGAGTAGTAACAAAGTGCTTAGATTAATCCCTCTTACCATTTTTTGGGTTATTTGGAAGGAGAGAAACAACAGGGCTTTTGAGGGGCTTGAACAAGATTTTAATAGCATTTAAGATAAATTGTTTCATTATTTTGGCTCTACTGTTTTAGGGCATAATTTATAATATTTTGAAGATCTTAGTTCTATTGTAAATATACTAATTGACATGTAAATATTTTGTAAATGGGTGGTGCTCTCTTAGCACCTCACATTAATATATCTTTTCTTCTTTTATTTCAAAAAAAAAAAAAAATGATGATCTTTCACTGGACCAATGGGGATGAGTCTGAAAATCCTCCTGTAACAAAGTTTTGGAACTTCAAATTTAGGGCTGTAGTGATGCATTTGCAAATACACGGACAAAATGCATTTCATGATTGATTAGAATGGAGAAAGGACTAGAATGGGTATAGTTTGATAGTACCTTAAAAGTGTCAGCTTGCCTGTTGTCATATCTTATGATGTGCATTATCTTTTACATATTTAACAAGTTTCAGCTCCTTCTTTTGTGTAGTTTGACATACCCATTTTTCCAGGTACACTGCATTATATGTGCTATTATTTGTAGCAACATTGATTCAATACTTTGTTACCTCTGGTTCTTCTCCTGGGTAAGTATCTGTGGTGTATGTAATTTATATTGCCTCAAGTTCATTTCTGGACATTATTCTGAGGGATGTTATGTCCTTAATTTGATTGATTCCTTTTATCCTTAATGAATTTCAGCTATGTTCTCGATGCAATGAGGGCTGTAACTGAGAGAAATGTGCTCTATCAAAAGACACAAGTGGCCTCCAAGTAAGGACTATTTCAATCTTTTTATGGGTGGGTTGGAAATTTTTGCCCCAGGGGTTTTTTTCAGTTGGGGGGAAGGGGAAGGAGGGAAGAGGGTGTCTAATAGAAATAGATGTTGATGTTTTGGTTTCTTACTATCTCTTGAGAGAAATTCTGGTGTCCTACTGTTTATTATGTGCTTATAATGTTTAAGCAAAGACAGCCTGCTACAAGCAAAAGTGGAAGCTTGGCAATTGCCGTGGAAGGAGGCCAATTAGGTAGAAATCGTCAAGGAAGTAATGCCATATCATGGTCGAAGTTGGTGATGGACATGTATCCCCCTGGAACATCTGTTAGGTATGGAAAAACATGTATCTTTTTTCTGAAAGATCTCATAGTGGTTGTTCTGAAAAAAGATCTGCTGATGATGCTTTTCAAACAATTACTTTTTGCTTGTAATTCTCGAATATGAGCTCTTTAGGACCCGCAAAGAGGATTATGCTAGTTGAGTGGAGTGCTTTGGACACATTTGAAACAACTATGTAGTTTGTAAGCACATATTTAGTCTTAAGCAATAAGGGCATGTTCTTTATCTGTTGAGTTATTTAGTGAGGTATATGAAAATTTTCTTTTCCCACGTTGAAGTTGTTTTGTTCCCAGTGCTGATCTAACAGGTTTTTGTTTTTACTGCTCAAGAAAATTTTCCTTGGCTTGGGTACCCTGTACTGTCTGCTGCAGTAATAACTAGGATACGAGATGACAAATTTTCCAATGATCCTTTAGTTTTTAATACTTAGATCTATTTTGTTGCAGTTTTTGTGTATGGTTGTGCACCTTCTTGGTGTTCGTGAATATGTAGCATCTTTTTCTTATAAAAAAATCCATTTTGTTGCAGGTTAAACCAATATAATTTTGCATTAAAAATCTATATTGCTGCAGTAATAACTAAGGAATATAGAAAATTTTCCTTGATAGTGCTGATAAAGTAAATAACTTTTGTTTAAACACTGTTAATAATTAATTCCTCTTTGTTTTTGCAGAACTTGGACTTTGCTCTTATTGCAATGTCGAACAGGTACTTAAGTATTGTATTTTATGTTCTTGCTTTGTGGGGTCACTTGGTTTGTGAGAACTTCTATAATGCTTATATTTAGAGATAGATTCATGTTACAAATGTTAAGATAGATAAGCCACGGAAACTGTATAAGAAATCACACACAGTTTAAGGAAGAAGAAGCAGGATTAGATTCTATAGCTAAGTACCTTAATGTAATTTTTATGATAATTATATTATGTTGGAATTTTCTTCATTTGCAGTGTGCCACTGGATATTTAGATTTTTATTATGTGGCTGTGTGCCAGTACTATAACGTTTGGAATTCTTGTAGGTGGCAGCCTGCCATTGGGCAATAGGGTGTTTATAGATTGGAGAAAGTTGCTAAATGGCAGTTTATTAGATCTACTAATTTCTTGGGGAGCTTCTGATCCTAATTAGCAGTTGTGTTCCTAGGATGTAAGCCTTATAAAGAAGCCATCTTAACTGCTTTAATTTAGGGAGATCTTTGGGTTGTTGTGATGCAGAACTCAAGATCAACAATGTAATCCAAAACTCACACATACACAAGTAGCAACAAAAACTTAACCCCTAGATAAAACCTCCGACTTAACTCATAACAACCTGTGATTGCAATTAAGGTAATAGGGATAAATAGATTCATTAGAACACCACAAAAAAAATTTTGGTAAGTTAAAATTAATTCAAGATTAAGTTAAAATTAACTCAAGAAAAGAAATTGATGAAAATAACACAAATTATCTTGATAAGTAGACACCAATTTCTCACTCAATACGAAGGTTGAAGAAAACCTCACTAATTGAAAATGTAGAAAGTCTTGTATTTTATTAATATCAAACTTGAATGATTGATTCACAACAATTCTTGAGATATTTATAGTTGAAGGCCCAAAGAAATACAAAAAAAGAAAATCTCCTAATTAATTATAATTATTATTTTTTTAAAAATAATAAATTACAAAATTAAGAAAATAATACTAATTAATGTATATATGGTTGCCTATCTTGAATTAAGAAATTTTTTTTTTCAATGTTGTTGAGATATTGCTGTCCATGAAAAGAGTCTGAATTAAATATGATATGGACTTAAAATATGAGAATATTCTTGAAGATTATCTAAGTATGAGAAGATCTCTTATTTTAAAAAAGATTTCGTATTTCAAAGAAGATCTATTGGAGATCTCTTGAGTTAAAAAAAATATCTTGAAGATTTCTTAATTTAAAAAAGATCTCTTAAAAATTTCTTGATTTAAAGAAGATATCTTGAATATTTTTTTATTTGAAGAAGATATCTTGAAAATCTCTTAATTTAGAGAAGATATCTTGAAGATCTCTTAATTTAATGAAGATCTATTGATTCATTGGGAAAGTGAATCTAGCCATGATCTTGTGCATCCGTACATGATCTTCTGAATTCGTCCACGATCTCTTCATACATTTAATGTCTCTTTTTGAAAGATATAAGCGGATTCTCTTGGATTATAGGACACTTTAATGCACGTTTTTCATAAGGTGTAGGACAAGTTGTTGGCCACTTCCCCTCTTAGTTTAATAGAATTGGTTTCCACCTTCCAAAGCCTTCCAATTTTGATCCAAGGCCTTTCTTCATTGATAGATTCTTTGACATAGACTTGAAAATCTTTCTTAAGTTTATTGGCCTTAGATATAGTGATATTCCATTCATATAGCTCAAGTATACCTTGAAGTGGATCCATCACATGCTTCTCTCCATATGGGATTTGTTTTAATTTGAATTGGTTCTTTTCTTCTACTTCAATGGACTAAACTGTGAGGCTCCTTCCTTGTATTGACCTTGTCGGGTCTTTCATGCTCTATAAGGTCTAAAGTGTGGCCTTTAAAGCTCATGAAGTCTTGAGCTTCTGTATGATCGTTCATGTGAGTTTGATTTACGTCTTGGCCATAGGATCTCATGTAGCCTAGTGTGATTTAGCCCACCTTTATTCGCATCATGTTACTTAATGAATCCTAACCTTTTAAAGATAAATTTTGATGGAAGGAAAAATCAGAGAAAACTTGGTTCTTCTTTGTTTGTTTTTACTTGACAATGACCTCAAACTAGTTCCAGGGCTTAAGAACTATCAAATTGGTATCAGATCTTGATATTATGGGAGATTCACGTTCTTTTCATTGGCATTTGTCTTTTCTCAATGCGTATCAAGAGGATCAAACACAAGATTGCAAGGAGAGAGCAATTTGTGGAGCAACAACATGCCTTTGCTGGTCAAATTGAGGAGTTGTGTAGGGGGTTTTCTACTGCCAGACGTGCAAAGTGCAACCCAGATGGGGGAAATGCAGTGTGAATAAGGTGTGATGTGATTGAAGGAAGCTAGGAATAGAGGCTAGAGAATTAGTGACTTTTCTTCCTAAGTATTTGAAGTTGGATTTTTTCATTATGATGGATCCATGAATCATTTTGTGGTGGTTCAATCACCCAAAACATTTTTTTAAGGGTCAATGAATTTGAAAGGTTGAGAAAGCGAAGTTAGCCTCCTTTCATTTGAAAGCATTGCATAATTATGGTTTATGAAGATAGAATGGGATAAACTGGCCACAACATGAGTTGATTTTTAAGAGTAGTGTAATCTTTGATTTGTACTTCTCATCCGCAGGAATAAACTGAGAGAATTGGTCAAATTGAAGCAGATTGTATTCATGGCCATTCATGAAAGGTAGTTTGAGCAGCTATCATCTATGATTTGTGCCCCTCATCTATTTCCAAGCGGTGACGGGTCTCAAAATTAACTTGGAAAAATCTGAATTGGTGGGCATTGAAATGGGTGATGATGGGGAACATCTTGCATTTGTTTGGGGCTGTCAGGAAAAGCATCTCCCGATCATTTATCTTGGCTTCCCGCTGGGGCTCAGATACAAGGATCACAAAAAGTGGGAGGCAATTATTGATCTTTTTGATAAAAAGGCTACCTAATTGGAAAAAATGTTTTCTTTTCAGGCGGGGTAGATTAACTCTTATTAAAAGTACGCTTTCCAATCTTCTAATATATTTTTTATCTGTACTTACTGTCCCGGTTCAAGTGACAAAACAAATGGAAGCTATTCAAAATAGAGTTTTGTGGGGTGATGCGGAAAATAAACGGGCGTATCATCTTGTTAACTGGGAGGAGGATAAATTGCCAATGAGAATGGATGGCCTTGGTCGTAGATCAATCACAACAATGAATAAGGCTCTTCATGACAAATGGATTTGGAGATTTTTCAACAAGGGTGACAGCTTGTGGAAGAGAATTGTGGAGATCAAATAGATGAAAAGAGGTCGTCATGGTAGCCTTACCCTTCCCCTCAGATCCCACGACACCATTTTATGGAAAGGTATTATGTCCATTTACAATGTTTTGATTGCTAACACTTCTTGGAATGTCGGGAGAGGTGATAAACTTAACTTTTGGCATGACTCCTGGTGCGGGGATGACAACCTAAAATCTATGTTTCCGATCACATATTTGATTGCTCAAAATAAAAATCTACTGGTCTGTGATGCTTCTAACAATGCTGGACAATGCTTAATCGCTGTCAGTAGAAATCTGAATGATTGAGAATTGGATGAATATGTGAAATTTTTGTAGTTGATGGCCGAGATTCAATTGTTGGACAAGAACGACTCACTTGTTTGGAAATTGCAAAAGCATGGCAGATTCTCCGTCAGTTCATCCTACAGGAAGCTTTCCAACGTTAATGGCCAAAGAAATACCAGATAGTTCAACACTCTCTTTAATTTCAAATGCATTTGGAAGCTAATGCTCCACCTAGAATTGCTTTCTTCACGTGGGAAGTGGCCAAGGAAAAAATGTTGACTTTGGATAATTTGATGAGAAGAGGGAGGATTTTGGTTGACAGATGCTTCCTTTGCAAGTGCAACGCTGAAAGCTGCAATCATATTCTTTTATGGTGTCTGTTCTCATTCAACTTATGGTCTATTGTTTACAGCTTGTTTGGTGTTAATTGGGTAATTGCAGGTTCTATTAATAATGAACTTTGGGCTTGGGAGGGTTTTGCGTTAAACAATCATGTGACTCGACTTATTCCGCTAATCATTTTTTGGGTTATGTGGAAAGAAAAAAACAATAGGGCTTTTGAGGGAATTGAAGACACGTTTGTAAATATTAAAGATAGGTGATTGCATTATTTTGACTCCACACTTTTGGGGCATAATTTACTTTCTTTGATGATATTGGAGCTGTTGTTGATATACTCATTGATATGTAAAGTTTTTTTGTAAATAGACGGTACTCCATTAATATCTTTATTTTTAATGCATTTGCTAAATTATATATCAAAAAAGAGAAAAAAAACTATGATAGAACCAATGATGATGGATCAAGAGGTGCAAATCTTTTCTGAGTGGATTGCAAAAATATTTCGCTGTTAAGGTTGAGTTACAACAATAGTCGGACCTCAATAATGCTATGAGTCTAGCCAAGTCGTCTGAGAGGTGAGTTGGTCCAACACATGATGAGACTTCAAGGTGGCATCCAATCTCATTGCATCCACAATCGTAAGTTGCCTAAGTGCAGCAAGAATTGATGAAGAGGATCAAAAGTTTATTTTGGTTGGAACTTTTAGAAGAGGATGTTGATGAAAGAGGTAGAAACATTTTGTTCAAGGCTTGGGGTTGATATCTTTAGTGGAGATGAACTTGAGCTTATAGGGTAAATGGCTATGGAGATTCGTGAAAGAAAATGATATCTTATGGTGGAGGGTGATAGTGATGAAGTTCGGAATCGTGGATAGAGTGTGGTACTTCAGAATATTAACTAGACTGCATGGGAATAGGATGTGGAAAAAATTATGCATGGGCAGGAATAAATTTCATAACTATATCAAAAGGAGGGTTGGCACTGGGGACAAGATTAGTTTTTGGTAGGACACTTGGTTAAGAGGGGGATTATTTAGAGAACAATTTTATCAAATCTATGCTATTGCGCGGAACAACAATATCTCAATTTACGAGTTATTTAGAGATAATAGAGGAGAAAAGAAGTGGCATGTGGAAGTTATGAGAACCCACGATGATTGTGAAATTATTGATTATGAGACTGTCCTCTATACACTCTTGTTTTCCTCAATTAATGAACCAATTTGGAGACTCAGTACTAGAGGGTCTTTCTTAGTGAGATCCTTGTATAATTATTTTATTAAGAATGACGCTATGAAGACCATTTTTCTTTTTTGACAAATTTGGAAGGTTAATGCTCCATATGTAGTTGCTTTCTTTGTATGGAAAGCATGTCATTGATGTACTCTTATGTTATTGATAAGTTGATGCAAAGAAGGAAAATATTGGTGAATGGATGTTTTCTATTCAAGAGGGAGGCAAAGCTTTGTAATCACATTCTTCTTTGGTGCCTACTTGTGTATAAGTTATGAACCATGACTTACGGGTTACTGAAGATCAATTGGGTGGATGGCTGGATCAGTAAGGGAAGAGATTTGGGTCTGGAAAGGTATTAGTGGAGGGAAGAATCATGTGACTCTCATTCCCCTTACTTTTTTTTGGGTGGCATATAAAAAGAGGAACATGTGAGTTTTTGAGGAGATGTAAAATAACTTTGATAAGGTTAGAGATAAATGGTTTTAGATCTTGGATTTTTTGATTATGGACCACCATCTTTATGAGATGGAGGATTTTGGAGACGTTATTGATATTTTGATTGACATATAAATGTTTTTTGTACATGTCCCTCGGTGCTTATGAATTAATGAATCTTACTATAATTTT